ATCTTTAAAATATTTGCTTATACTAATTCTTACATTATAAATGAAGCAGACTTTTTATGATCCAGCGCTATAGAAATTTAAAAAATATCTTAATGTAGGCATCATGCAGTTATTTGTGAATTTTGCAGGTTAAATATACTATGAATGTATTAGAAAATAAACACTATTTTTTTTTGGTCAAATATATTGGAACTCTTCATTTTCTAATCTTGTGCTAGTGTCATGATGTACTTTGTTGCTGAAATCTGCAACTATTCATTTAATGAATAGTGGATGCAGCTAAAAAATGATTGTGGCATTACATTCCTGTTGGTAAGTGCCTGAAGTGAAAACAAAAAGCCTTAAAATAAGTCTGATTAATATTTATAAGTAACCTGAGACCCCCCTGTTAGATGCAGACTTGAACTCCATTGACACTTGGTTCATTGAGGCCTCGCATTTATACATATTGAGGTTGCTGACTTAGATTTCCAAGGTCTGTCTTATGGAATATTTGGAGCTTTTACTTGCTAATCAGAATTATGCACACATGGAGACGACTGAACTCTCCAATGCCTGGTAATCACAAATTACTGGCCTTGTAATTGCCAAGACTAGTGTATTGCTATAGGTGTCTTTACCCTATATATTCACCTCACAAGTTAGACCACCCAAAAGGATTTGAAACACAAAAACATTCCTCCAAAAGGACTTGATTCTTTTGAATATTTTCTTCTGAACCAAAGTTTAACTAGCCTCAAAGTTCAATGTTTTGAATTCTGACTCCAGGCCAAGTTTGGAAGTGGCCGATTTTTATAAGGAATGAATCAACACCTCTGTTAAAAAATTCCTCATACCTGAGGATTTTGTAATAAAACTGTTATGCCTTCTGTAAATATTTTGGGTAAAATGTAATGGGCAGGAAGAACAATAAATAGATTGGGCAATTTTGCCAGTTTTATAGGGTCAGCTATGTTGAAGTGTTATTACAGTTAAATTAGTAATGGTTTTGTCTGTGTTTCTGTGTGTATACACACACACATGTATATAAATATGTACTGCAAATGGTAACTGATTTATATATATAGACCAGAATTACCAGCCTAATCTGTCCATTCCCAGATAATATCATTTCATAAGTATGACAATCCAATGATTACAGTGCTTTGTGATCTATAAAATTGTGGATTACTTTTGGGTATTAATTAACAGTCATTTCTGTCATTGTCAGATATAATGGAAGGGATATTGCAACAGCAGGATCTGCAAGGCTCTGGGATGCTTTGTTCTTCGTAGCTTGCCAGGGCATTGTCATTTATCTCGACTCAAAACAAGCTTGGTTGGTTTCTGTAGTGACATTTTTGGAAAGGTTGGTGGATTATCAATAGTTACTTTAGATGTACATGCCAAAGGGAAAGAAATGCAGAGGAAACAGTAATAAAAAAAGAGGTTTAGATTCCTAAGGTGAATTTTCTTATGAATTGTAAAAGGGCACAGCAGTCAAATTAAATTGATGTTTGACAATCTTGGGAGATGTGAATTGTCCTGCGGAAAGTAATGAGGGCTGATTGTCAGAGCTTCGGCTACTAATGCACAAACCAGAAATATTGCTCTCTCTTTGGACTTGGGTTCTTTTCTCTTCTATAGCCTCTGTGAGTTTTATTCATAGACCTTGGGGAGGACTTGAAAGACAGACGAGGGGAACAGTCCACTGAAGTTTAGCAGAACAAAAGAAATCCAAATGTTCTAAGATATGGAAATGCAAAAATGAACCCCAATTATCTATGTAGTGACAGTGTGCAATATCTATACTATTTTTAATAATTTATTGTCCTTATGTCCTTGATTAGAAGACTTTAAAGATTCATTAGGATTGACTTTCTTCTTTGGGGATGCTCTTAGGAATTTTGAAGATTGAGCGCTGTAATTTGGGAGAAGATACACTGCCTTTTTCAGATGTAGAGGTTCAATTCATGCTTCAAGCACAAAACTAAACTCAGAATTAAGTAGGAACCACATAATCTCTCTTACAAATTTGTGAAACGCCTTTGCTGAAGTGCCTCAGTACTTGTCCTTTCTACTACAATTTTCCCTTCACATTCTGTGAGAAGCAGTTTCTTCATCACAGTCTTGTGTTCCACTTCCACCTCACACATCCAAATTATCTGTGGGCTGCAGCTTTCCTAGTGCCCTGGCACTCTATCCTGCAAAATGCTCTTGCACAGCAGATGATTGATCTTCTACTCTAGCTTGAAGGTAGCTGAAACGTCAATATAGCTTCTAGCCATTTTTTTCTCATCTTTACTCCAATGATGTATGGATTATAATACTGAAAATGTATTCCCTAATCATGGGGTAAGGATTAGGGATCTTTAGCTTGGGAATTCTTCCCCCAAATTGAAGCCATATCCTAAATTGGGAAACACACCAAACCAGCTAATACGGTACTTTCTGGCTGTCTGTGTTGCATGCTGTATTTTCTAGAAACAGTGAAGTTTATATCATTAAAAATAATAATAGAATTACTCAGCTGACTATATCCCCGAGAGAGTAAAAAGGCAGGTATGCACATGCAATGCTTCAGTAAAAACAACACTAAACATTTGAAAATTAATATATCAAGCAATATAAAAAACAATCTTGGCAGGAACAATTACAGTTTATTGCACACCTCTGTCCATGTTGGCAGTAGCAACCACTGCTAAGTCATAGTGTCCTTCATCTGAGGCCAAATCTCACTGGTGAAATACAGATTCTAAGTCTAAGAACATGCAACAAAGGGAGCGCGCGGATCTGCTTCCTTAGCTTTAAGTAAATGAAGTGTTTTAATGGCAGTAAGGATGTGGCATAGCCAGAACCAGAAACCAGGAATGCTCTGTTTCAGGCACGTGATGATACCATTTATCTTTCTGCCGCTGCCCAGGAGGCAGCAGTGACAGCAGCAAAAGGCCAGAGGAGACTGTAAGACAGGCCAGGCGATCCAGAGGGCCAGGAGGGAGCAGAGGGAGGTGTCCAGGCACCACGAGAGAGAAGGCTGGGAGTACGTGGCGTGGGAAGGGTTTGCAGTTACTGCATCACCCAGGTCTCTGGGGGAAAACAGAAAATGAAAAGAGACAGAAAGCCAGGAGAACTGTATTTCAAAGATACTGCTAGTTACAATAAAAAATTTAAAAAAAGAAACAGGAAAAGAGGCATACTGTATTCCTGCAAGTATCCAGGCATTAAGTGACAGTTATTTTCTATGGAAAAGCAGGTGGTGTATGAAACACAATAGACTTTGTTAATACTGTATCATATACAACTATTTTTCCTCACTTGCTGCATGTGCTGAACGGGTAAAACTAGTCAAGCTTTCAATTTCCAATATAACATTACTTTAACCTTCAGACATAATGCTTTGGGTGATTTTACATCCAGTGTTGGTGATTGTCATTGCTTTGCCATAAATAAAAGTACTACGAGGAAGAAAAACAGAAAGTTTTGATAAATAATGTCTTTTCTTTCTAAAGTGCTTGCAGATCAGAAAGTAGTTTAAAACTGCATCTCTGAATCAGTTCATCTATTACTGAAATGCAGCCAGCTATGAAAGGAAATGTGACTAATGGCCACTGCAGTGGCGGCCCGGTGCAGCATCGAGGGGCAGCCAGCTGCTGGAGCTGGATGCTACTGCTCATGCTGAATTTTTAAAGTGGCCATTTGGGTCTGTCTTAACATTCAAAAACGTCTTCTTGGGTTGGGAAGCTGGAGTAAAAATATGGATGGGATATGTGGATGCACAGGATATGTAGATATCTGGATTGTAAGGTATCTCGTTAGTAGCTGTTCAACATAAAAAATAAAACAAGAGACAAAACCACTAATAAATCAAATCCCCAGATACCCAAATCCTGGGGAACAAGAGATACCAGAGACGATAGCAGAGACCACACATGTCAGGAGAGGTTCATCCAGAATGTTGCAACTTTTACAAAAAGGGAAAATAAGGTTATTATGGGTCTCACAGGAAAGAATAAACTTCTTATGGCATGTGAAATTTATTTTGCGATGTTTAAGGGAGGGGCCAAAGGGAGGGGTCAAAGTGGATCAGGGAGGAACAAGTGTAAGAAAATGGAGAGGAGGGGGCATAAAAGAGTCTGGTTGTGTGTCAGGATCCTTGTCTGACTGAGCCCTGTGTCTGATCGCTACAGCCTGTCCCATCTCTTTACTAAACTCCGTTGCTAGCTGATTTTGATGTGATCTCGCTTTCCATTTGGTGTTTATGAGTGTGGGGGGCAGCTGTGATTTGTTAGGGGACTTCGAGGTCCAAGCCGGTGCCTGGATAAGGGGTGTATAGGGTCTGGGCACAGATATTGCACAGACCTAGCCCATGCCAGTGTTTGAGGGGTCTGTAAGTAGTGGTGTGTTTGTGAGTCACATGAGTGATGGTGTGTGCGTGTTTCACTAGCAAACTTCAGTCCTCATCAGCTGGGCAGGAGGAGGAGGAGCAGGCCGTCTTTAGTTGTGTTTGTGAGTGCCAGTGCACTGCTGTCTGTGAGGGTCTGCGTGTGCATCGGCACCTCTGGAGTACACACGCGGGCTCACTACCGGCTGGGCCTGCAGACGGGAGCAGCACCGGTGGCACCTATTGGACTGGGTCAGGAGGAGCCTCCTGGGTCTGAGTGTGCACCAAATGCAGCTCTTGTGGATGGGGTGGAGGAATCCCTGGGACGGGAACCCTCCAGTTCCACTCTCTGTAACAAGTGATACTAGTTATAGCATGCAGAAGAAAGTTTTACCCAAATCACGGATCCTGCTTTCTACAGCAGCCAGCTTCCTACGTAATTTATGAAATCTGAGGACATCTGAAACTAGGGTGCTGTGAGTTGAAGTCTGCTATATTTGCAAATCCTTAGTAGGTAAGACTAAAATGCTCCACAAATGAAGCATTAAATGGTGCTGTATTTTTAAACTTGCAAAGACTTTCGAATACTGTGAGCAGTAATTTTTGCATTCTAACTGGTTTGACTCCTTGCTCTCCCTAGGGGAAATGGAAGAGTTAGAAACCCTGTGGCTGACTGGTATTTGCCACAACGAGAAGAATGAAGTCATGAGCAGCCAGCTGGACATCGACAACATGGCAGGAGTGTTTTACATGCTTGCAGCAGCCATGGCACTCAGTTTAATAACCTTTGTCTGGGAGCACTTATTTTACTGGAAACTTAGATTCTGCTTCACTGGAGTCTGCTCAGATAGGCCAGGATTGTTGTTCTCAATCAGCAGGGTTAGTATTACTTTCATTTTCCCCCTTCAGGCAACAAACAGAATAAACGCTACCTCCCTAAAACATTATCTTTCCTTTTATTCCCACTTGGACATTTGAAATACATGTTAGAGCATCAGTGTGACGCCCTAGAGTAGTCAGTGGGCTTAGGATGTACTTGCACTCCGTGGGAAGTCTTTTCTCCGTTGGATTATTCTAGTGTATAAGTTATCATATGCCAGGATAATCAGTAATCAGATGCTGAAAAAAAATACATTTAGGGGAAATTTTGATGAAGAAATGGTAGAGCTGCTCAGATGCAGGAAATGGATTAATTTCCACAAAAAAATCCAAACAAAACAAATACTAAATTGATGACAGATATTAGCTCTCAGTTTTGTGTATTTCTTAAACAAGTGGATTTTAAGTGATAAAAATATACTGGAAGATTTTTATAAGCTTTTCTTGATAGCAAACTTGAATAAACCATATGAGAAAAGGTCAAACACAAGTGTCATTTATGTTTGGTTAGACAGGTTTTAATGATAACTTTACCAAATACAAATTGGATTTACATATCCAAATAACTGAGACTTGTCGTAAAGTAAGAGAAATATGTGCTTGTTCTTATATTTTTGACGAATTAGTTGGTTTTTGTCTTTTTTTTTTTTTTAAACACACAGCACTTTCATTAGGTAATTGTTTTTGCTGGATTTTTTATACAGCTGAAGAGAATTGAAAATGATACTAAAATGCTTAATTGCTTTAAAATGTGCTGAAATTACCCTGTTGAGTAAATTGGATTGTATTGGAACTGCATTAAAAATACTCTGCCCTACCCAGTTGGGGATTGTCTAGAAAAGCATATACACTTTAACCTCCACATTTTACCTTTGAACTTTATACTTTTGGCCTTTTACATGTGAAATTCTCCTAACCAATGTGGGGAAAAAAAAGTACTTTTTTCAAAGGCAAATTTCTGAGAATTACAAGTCCCCAGGGTCGGAAATGTCAACTGAGCTCACAGGAGTGACCGAAGAGGTTGGAGTTAAAAGATGGGCTTCAGCCTTTTGCTCAAAATGAACTCAAATTCAGGCTTTAGAAAGAGCTGGGATTTTTTCATATGTACTAGGATATGAAACAGAAAAGCTAAAATACAATGACTAGAAGCCTTTTTATTTCAGTGCAAGTGAAGAGTACCGTAACTTCCAAGAAAATAGCCCGACTGCAGGGTTGTTTAGAGGGGTAACTTAATCACTTGTTTAAAATAATAGAGTTTCCATTACTGAAGGTTAGTTACATTTTGTGATGAGACTAAGGAACCTGTTGGGGTCCCTTCTAATCTTCTTTTCTGGAGTAAGCAGGGGAGGCCAACACAGACCACTGGTTTGTAAAATACTGGCAATTTTTCTCCTTTACAGTTCCAACAGATGTAGCAGAAATTATTCTTCCATATCGATGTAAGGAAATGCTAAAAGGATAGATATGTACTTTTAATCTTTCCAGTCATTAGATAAGCAGTGTTTAATTCTTCTTTATTGCTAATTAAAAATAGAATGGAAGTATTTAAAATTTACACCTAATGATTTAATTTGTTTTATATTACTCATATTACAGGGTATTTACAGCTGCATTCATGGAGTACACATTGAAGAAAAAAAGAAGTCTCCTGACTTTACTTTGACCAATTCCCAAACCAACATGTTAAAACTACTGCGAACAGCAAAAAATATCAATCCTTCAAGAATTAACTCCCCCAAAAGAACAGCTGATTTTATTCAGAGGGGTTCCTTGGTTATGGACATGGTCATGGATAAGGGAAACTTGATATTTTCTGATAACAGATCCTTTCAGACAAAAGACAACTTTTTTGGTGACAACATGAGTGAACTGCAGACACTTCCTGGCAATCGACACAAGGACAATCTTAACAACTATGTTTTCCAAGGTCAGCATCCTCTCACACTGAATGAGTCCAACCCAAATACAGTAGAGGTTGCAGTAACAGCAGAAGCAAAAGTGAACTCCAGACCCAGGCAGCTTTGGAGGAAATCTGTTGAATCTTTACGTCAAGAATCTGTACGTCAGAGCCAAGGTTCCCAGAGAGAAAACGGGTCAGATGAAAACAGGCAGCTTTCAGTGAAAAGCCAAAGATACCTTCCTGAAGAGATTGTCCATTCAGATGTATCAGAGACATCAAGCCGAGCTACTTGCCATATGGAACCTGAAAACAACAACAAGCACCACAAAACCAAGGACAATTTTAAAAAAAGGACAGTAGTATCAAAATACCCAAAAGACTGTAGTGAAGTGGAACTGACATATCTGAAAACCAAACAGAGCTCTCCACGGGATAAAATCTACACAATTGATGCTGACAAGGAGCCAGGATTCCGCTTGGACACACCTCAGTACATCGAAAACATTGCCCTTCCAGAAACTATAGAGTTTCCTGATGTTTATGAAGATCACAGTGACAACTACAGGAAAGCAGAACATGCTAACAGGACTCCCTTGCATAATGAAGACAGTCTTCCAGATAATGACCAGTATAAGCTTTATGCAAAGCACTACACTTTAAAAGATAAAAATGCTTCCCTAGTTGACATGAATGATAGATACAGACAGAATTCCACGCACTGCAGGAGCTGTCTTTCCAATTTGCCCACTTACACGGGACACTATTCAAGCAGATCTCCCTATAAATGTGACGCATGCTTGCGGATGGGGAACCTCTATGATATTGAAGAAGATCAGATGCTGCAGGATACAACGAACTTATCACTTCCTGAAGAAATATATGAGCATAGTTGGTCACAAAATAATGCTCTGCAATATCATAAAAAAAATAAGTTGAGGATTAGCAGGCAACATTCTTTTGATAATATCACTGATAAATCCAGGGAAATTGATATTGGAAGACCTTCTCGTAGTATAAGCTTGAAAGAAAGAGAGAAATTTCTACAAAGTAGTCCATATGCAAGCATGTTTAGTGTTCCCTCAAGCAAACTGTTGAGCAACAAGGCCTCACTTTTAACTCATGCTCTAGAGGACAGTAAGCGGAGCAAGTCCCTGTATCCTGTTCACCCAGATGATAATCCCTTCCTGCACTCGTATCGTGATGACCAGCACTTATCTCTTAGGCGAAGTCCAGCTGATCTTTATAAACATTCATTACCAACAAGAGGAAGAAATGATAATTATTTAAGGTCATCCATAAGGTCTACAGCATCATACTCTTCCAGGGATGGTCGGATCCATAATGACATGTACATTTCAGAGCATGTTTTGCCTTACGTTGCAAATAGGAATAGCTTGTACTCAACTCCAAGGGTTTTAAATTCCTGTAGCAATAGACGTGCGTGTAAGAAAATGCCTAGTATTGAATCAGATGTTTAAATTTTCCACAAACACTTTATCTATAGGGAAAAAATAGTTGCCACCATCTTAGAGGGAGAATTTATCCTTTAACAGTATCCTGCTATGGTAAATGATACGCAAACCTCTCCCTTTCCCAGTGTACTTTTGTACATGAATAGGTAAACTAGTATGCTCTTAACTATCCTTTTAAAATATGTCTTGTTGAAAAGGATAAAAAATAGCCATTTATGTATACTTTATATATAAATGGCAAGCTGTACTGAAATAGCCCCAATATATGTTGGCAACTATGCTGTTTTGTATCTAATTATTTTACTATTTCGGTTATTCTAATTTCTGTTGCTAAGTATCATTCAATGTACTTTTGTCCTTAGAAATGTTTAATGATTTTCTAGTACTGGATAAGCAATATGGTATGCATGTAGTATGACACAGACAAAAAGAATTAGGAATGCATTTGCACAGTTTCAAAAGTAAGACTAAAAGAGAACAGAAGGCTAGACTTTCAAAAATATACTTTAGCTTCATAATAATTTTCAAAGCCAAATAACAATAATAAAAAAGTCCCCAAGCCCTGGGACCTTAGTAGACAAAATACAGTGTGTTAGCACAAAATTAGTGTATTCATTCTAGACTGACAGAAAATAAATGAGAAGGCTGTAGGCTCAAACATGTGAACTGCTGTGTACCAAAAGGAAGCCCCATGGATATTGGTTAATGTACAAATGCTTTTCTTATATTTCACATGTACTTACCATTACAAACTAAGTTCATTGAAAAGTCTGCAGTCATCTTGTCAGAAATTTCACAGCTGCCTAATCCAGAGTATATATTTTTAGATATCACTATATGGCACTTACTATGGAGCTGTGGACTTTATTAGTAACCTTGAGGCCTAATGTGTACTTAAGTTTGCATTTGCCCCTTACCGGTGATTACTCAGGGCTGTATAGTATTTCTTTTATTCCCTCACTTCCCAAACCAAACCCCAACCCACTATAGTTCTTTGTTCATAGTCTATTAGTGACATCTAATTAATTGTATGTTAATAGTATTAAAGCTGTTAATACAGTATCAAACACCGACAGCCATACGTTCAGCGTAATCAGTGCGGAGCGCAATACCATTTATTTGCATACACAGTGAAGGATCAACACCTTTCGAGGGACTTCTTCCTTCCAGAATATTGTGCATATTTGTTGAACATCAGACCGTTTTTTTTAACCTCTGCAATCAAGTCTGTTATATAAATCGAATATATGCACACATAACTAAGGAACAGTATCTTTATTATCACTTACTGGTATACAAAGCTATTCACATAACAGGGATGCATTGTTGTACGACTTTTACTTCTAGTAAAGATCAATCAGATTATTTCACAAATAAAATGTCTGCTACACACCCCTCCTCACCCCCACTGGGAAAAAAAAAAACCCACTAGATTTTAACCATAAGGGAGTGTGGAAGGGAAGAGAGGAAGTCTTTCATGAGTAGAGTGTACAGCTGTAAATTTAATTTAAACTAAAGAAGTAAATATAATTGCTAATATATTTAAATATGGAAAGCATTCAACAGGTGGTGCTCTCCCATTCTCCTGCTACTCTGAGAATTGCTTTAGGTTTTTGGTGTGGAAGAAGTTTAGATTACTCAAGCATTATTTTTTACATTTCACTGAAAAACAGTGAGCAGGGAAACCATTACCACTGTGAATTGGAAAATGTGAATATTACCCTAACTTTTCTCTAAACTGAAACTCTTTTCAATAGAATCATGCCTGTCAGGTGTAATTGTAGTATCTGCATGCCAGAGGTACAGTATGCAAGTTGTTAATTTGGAATAGCATACTGCAGACAGAGTTGCAAACAGGAGATAATATAAATGATGTATAGGGATAGACAAAATATAGCTTCTTGAATTTTGTTTACAATTTTTTTATTAAACAGATTTAAGCTGACTTTAACTACCAAACAGTCCAGAATGAGTTCTTGGTATTTACAAATATATTTGTATGTTCACCGTGATGGTGAAGGATGATATTTTTGAAGGAACGAAATGTAAAGAGATTTGGGCTTCCGAGTCCCTTTCCAGCTTCCAGAAATCTCAGTATACTTTATTCTAAGTATCTTCAGAAAGCATATCTATGGGTATCTGTACGCTGTGCAGAGCAAATATGTTTTGAGTATTCTTTATTCAACATTTGGTCATAATCACTGGCCCTGATTCACATGGTATGCTTTCTGGTTCCTCACTGGATGTAGTTTTTATAAACAGAAGATCCTCACCTGTCCTTAGAGAAATTCACATTTCTTAGGAATTCATATTCTTAGGAATAGTTGTATGAGCTAAGCCAGGCTAGGGTGTTTATGGGATGAACACTACTTTTCATGAACCAAAACCTTTTCCCAAAGACATAGGTATACTATTTGTCTTAGGTCTACAGGAAGGCAAATGCACTAAAGACATAAATGTTGTTGTAATGAGTTTAATAAAAATATTTCAGACAAATTTTGATTTCCAATCCAAATCATAATATATTAACTAAAATCTTAAGTATTTTGAACTACCTGCTGTGTTTCAGCAGGTATGGTATTTGCTGATACCATACCCAAAACTGCCATGTGAATCGCTGAGAATTCTACCAAGTGAATCATAAAACTCAGTGGTGGCTCTTGTCTTTCACATCATCTTAAAGCTCTCAAAATATTTGCTGATTGCTCCAAGTCTTTTGTATCATCATCTCTGTCTAACTAGACACATATAAGTCAATATATAGACAGGTACTGTATGTGAAGTTGTGGGAAAGAAAAATTCCCATTTACAACATTTTCTAAGTAAACTGTTGAGATCCAAATGTAAACATCCTAAACCCAGGTGGATTTATCCTTCTGTGAAATGTACAAGCAAATTAGCTATGAAGAAATATATTGCAGTGTTTGCTTCTTCCGATTTGAGCAGATTTCTGGTGACTGTAGAGATTTATTATTATTAGCTGTAAATATGCAATACAACCACCTCCCCTAAACCAAAACAAATTAAAGAGAGAGAAGACTTGATAATGTTGCACAGCAGTTGTTCACATGGAAATAAAAGATGCTGCCTTAAAGGAGAAAAAACGAAAAACAAAACACAGATGCTGAAAGTAGAGGGAATAAGAATCTGCATGCATTTGTTGTTTCAGTCTTGGCATATAATATGAGTGAATAAAGGGGGAAGAAAAGGCTACAGTGTAGGGTTGTAGGCGAGTAGCTGGTGTGGTAGCGGATGTATACGTGTAACGAAGAAGCAGCTGAGAAGTTGAAGAAAAATCTTCAACAGTAGAGCCACAAGCCACAGCTTGAGAGGCTCAGCCGTAGAGCGCGTGGAATTCTGAGTATTGCCTGAGCTTTGTTGATATATTTGCACTGACTTTCAATTAAACCGAGATCAAGACTTTCTGTATTTCCCTCTCTCTCACTCTAGCTGCTGCTATTCTTGAAGAGGAGAAAAGAATCTTCCTGCATAAGTGGCCATCCTTTCTGTACCTTTCTGGATGGTGCTGGTGACTTGTTACATTTTCCTGATTACAGCTCTAGCAGTTTGTTGGTCATTCCTATCACCAAGATTTCCTGTGACTCCAGCTGGAACTGAATCAGGCTGTAAATGATATGGGCCATTCTTGGTAGCATGTCCTGTAGTGTTACACTGCTCCTGGACGACAACTTTTGTGGAGGCAGGATATTGAATTGCTGAGGAATGGAGTAGGTACATGGAGGTAAAAACAGCTACATAGACATACCTGCCTCTTGCTTTTTTCCTCTTTTAAAGACATTGTAGAATTTCTTCATGTTTTTTGTCTTTCCCTTTTCACCACAGTAAATTTTCCTTTTTCCTTTCAAATGGATTTTGTGTTCTGCTTGTGTTTCTTAGAGCAGTGTAGCCACCCACTAACTTAAACGCATGGAAATAAGATATTTTAATATATAAGATAAAATTAAGGAAAATTAAGAGTTTTTGTGTTTCTGGAAAATTTCATTTAATGTTTTTGCAGCTTTTGCTCAGAATTCATTATTCTGCTATATAAGAAGCTCGGTTAGGAGAAAGAGTGCTGTGGACAAACAGAAACCAAATCACCGCCAGCTCACCGTGTTTTGGCAGCATCTCATAAATACATGTCTCTTTCTCTATGATCTTTCAGGAACACTTAGGAGGTGAAATAAGGCTCACAAGTGAAATCAGGAGTGGTTTTTTTTTCCTGGTGAAAATAAATCTTTTTGAATAGTTTTAAAGGAATCAAAATCTAGAGCTGTGTGTGTAGCTTTGGGTTTTTGTGCTGGAAGGCTAAGCTCTTTCTGTTGCCAGTGGGGAGAGAGAGAGAGAGAAAGCTCCCTCCGGATGGTAGTTCAGATCACTGAAGGCTTGGAAGCAGTTATGTGTGTGATGTGACCTGAAAGATTTTACCTCTCTCTGTTGACTTTTTAGAATGTATAGGCTCCTAACTTAGACATCTCAGTTAGGTGGGCTTAGAAAAGTAATGGTCTATTTACCCCCAGCCTCAAAAATCTGCTAATTAAATGTGCAAGTCAGTGCCAAGTTAAACCTTGCAGGTGCCTACAGGTTCCTGTGCTTATGCAAGTAGTTACGAAGGTAGCACCCGTCCTTTGTCGGTTTTGCAGTACTCCCAGCCTAGTCGGTATCACTGTTTTCTTTATACCGTGTGACTATCCAGCATGAAATAAAAGTGTCAGAATCTATTCCCTGTAGAATAACTTGCTATTTTCATATTTCTGCAGTGTAGCACATGCATCTTAGTGATGGGGGAGATTTTGGTCCTATTCCTTCCCTTGCTGGGTTCATCAACATAGAACAGGAATTGTGGTATGATTCTAAGGGTCTAAGAGTCAGCTTGGATTTAGGAAGGATTCAAGAGGTGGATCTTTTTGTTGTTTTACATTGCATTTAAGATGTTTGATATATAAAACCTAGTGAAAACAGATCTTTTATGGCCAAATCCTCTCTTAGTTAACATAGAACAGTAA